TTATCATTTTCTAAAATTCGCAATAATTAATTTAATAATTAATAAAGATTCTCGAATGAACGTGTATTCACGTGCAAAAGACAGTCCAGCGCGAGCGTTTCGCATGCTTATGATTGCGCGCGCGGCAACTCAATGAGAAAAGTGAATATAACAACATATAATAGATATTCACAAAAATTAATAACAATTACTAAATGCAAAAGCATGTACCTCGCATTCTTTTTAATTATAATAAATTATTCTAATGTCAAAATGTGTTATAATAATAATTTTAAAATTTATTTCTTTATTTAATTATTTACAAAAAGAATTCCATAAAGAAAAACTTACACACGTTACGTTTAGTTGCAAATATTAGTATACTAATATTCGACATTAGAATTATTTATTTTGATAAAAGTGCATAGTCATCATTAACTATTGATTTGCACACAGTAAAGATGCACGTTTAGGGCTGCTTCTTTAGATCATGTCTTTTACATTACAAAACATGAAAAAAATAAAGAAATTACGAATTTATATGTCTCAAAAAATGAAAACTTACAAAAAGGCTTTATTATTGTCTGCAATGTTGATCTGAAAGAACAAATTAAAATTGGATTCTACAGAAGGATAAGGATTCGAAACATAGAAAGAGACTTTATACACTCAGTGAAAAAAGAATGAAAAGAATATGATATCAATCACTTAGAAGGATTAACCATCACAGTCACCCAATGCTAATCTATCAGAAAACGTTTGAGCATACCTAAGGCACCAACTTCGTTGGAAAAAAGTATACTTGAAGCAATTAATTAGACATAATTTACTCGACATAGAGATTTGTGCCGCAAGAATATGCTGCTTACAAGGGGACCTTCAGAGATGTTCACTTCCGATTTGGACAAGTCTTATACATATTGTAGGTGGACCTTCCCACCACAATCGTAGTGCACTAATAGGACGCATCTCTCAAGCGTTCTCGAGAAAAACGCGTTTAAAGTTTTCCGTGCGCGTAATATACCGTTAAATTAGAACATTTTGGCCTCTAGGCGGCGAGGCTCAGTGGATAAAGCCTTTTGCACAATGCGAGGGAATAGTGATAGCGATAAGCAATAGACACAGAATTCCAACTCGTCGGAAATTTTATTGCTATTGCTTATTCCGTTTTCTCATCTGCATTGATACATGTGTATTTTTGTATGTTAGATTCCAATGTTCCTACCGTTTTTATAAATATAAACTCTTTAAAACTAGTGTTATTTCTATCGCTATCGCTATTCCGTTCATTGTGCAAGGGGCTTAACCTTTTCGCTCCGGGANTGGTCCATATATGGACCAGCAAGAAAAGCGAACGTAATAGATGTTTATAAGGTCAATTTAATGCACTAAATTTGGGAAAAAAATTGAAAAAAATCCTGGTTACTTCTTTGACCTTCAAAATTAACTTTGAAGGGGGGGGTAGCAGGTTATTATTAACTTTATCAGCTAAAATGCGAGGTCAATTTTAAAGGAAAAATCCCCGGAGCGAAAAGGTTCAGAGGGTACTGGAGGCCCGCCTGTAAACTGGATAGAGACCTGTAAACAGACGTTTTAAAAACCTAAATTTCATTCTTGTATGTAGAATTATTTCTAAGCTTATGTATATATTTACAATAAACAAGCGCCGCAGATACGACAAAAACGAATCTAATGAGACATTCAGATTATGGTATGACTATCTAATTGATGAGAACAACGTATTAGTGTGATGACAGTATAGGTTATCATATGCTATCATTATGAATGAAAAAAAGAGTTTCAAAAGACATTATATATCTATTTTCAAAAGCACTAAATAGCTGTTTATATGTATTTACTTCTATAGAAGCACTTTTTATGTAATGCAATAAAGAAACTTAAAAATTAGAGAAATGTAGGTTTTTAAAACGTCTGTTTACAGGTCTCTATCCAGTTTACAGGTGGGGCTCTAGTACCCTCTTAAGGCACCCGACTACTCTGAATCTCATTTTTTTCGAATTTTTTTTTAATATTTGTACTGTATTATATTGTGTAAGCGTACTGGCATACATACTTTTTATTTATTTTGTCTAAAAAGTCAATGTTTTTTATAAAACTAATTAAATTAAAAAATTATGAAATTTATTGATTTCCAATGCTTTTAATGTTGTGTAATTTATAGAATGTTATTTAAACAATAAAAAAATAAATTATTTAATATATTTGCCATGCTTGTTAAATATGAATAAAATTTGTTTTCCAATTACTGTAGTTAAAAAACGGTGCATTTTTAAAAATAGAGGATTTATACAATGTGCTCATTGTAGAAAAATATTATGTTTTACATGTTTTTATGTTGAATATCATCCTAAACTATGTACTCTCTCCGAGTATGACTCCAAAGACGAATAAAAAATAATATTTATAATAAAATATAATAAAAGATATAAATTTTCTTGTAATAAATTTAAATTTCTTCTTATTTTCCTTTTTTGCATTGGAAATCAATAAATTTTTAATTTAATTGTTTTGTATTTTAATTTAATTAGTTTTATAATAAAAACATTGACTTTTTAGACAAAATAAATAAAAAGTATATATGCCAATACGCTTACACAATATAATACAGTACAAATATTTAAAACAAAAAATTCCAAAAAAAAGAGACGTGAACCAGCAACACGCACAATATTAGTCAGATGCCTTACCCACTGAGCCACGCCGCCTAGAGGCTGAAATGTTCTAATTTAACGGTATATTACGCGCACGGAAAACTTTAAACGCGTTTTTCTCGAGAACGCTTGAGAGGTGCGTCCTATTATTGCACCACGATGTGGTGGGAGGGTCCACCTGCAATATGTATAAGACTCGTCCAAATCGGAGGGGAATATCTCTGAAGGTCCCCTTGTTAGTGGAAAATATGCCTCGAAGATTTCAGCCAATTATTGACAATGGTGATAACTGACACATTATTAATATGAATTTTCACTCAAGTAAAATGAATTTATGTATTTTAAGTTTTCAAACATTAATAAATAATAAATACATTTTTCTATAAAGTAAACTGGTCACAATTTTCTTTGACAAAACTCACTGTACAAAAAGAGATTAATTGTATACATATACACATATATTCAGTAAAAAAATATTACTTTTATCACTTTTTTTACATGTCCCAAGAGGTTTACTCTAAAGTTTAAAAAAAAGTTAAATTAACTCATTTGTCATTTGTTAGTTATTGAAAAACTAATAATGTTAAGTAATTGACACAATACTTTATATTTGTTATTTTGACTTTATAAGTGTGATATAAAAATAAAAAAGGATAAAAGAATTTTATTGATTCCCTTCAGAGTTACAATATTTTTTTACATTTCTCTTTCACATCACCCACAACCAATTCAAGCTGATTGGAGAATTCACAGTTCGATTTTTTCAATCGATAAAAAGACTGGATCGGAAAAATTCGACAGTATGAATTTGAACTCGAGATCTTCCGCTCGCAGACCTCGCACTCAGGCCGCGAGACCACTGGGCCGGTCGAGATATAAAAATACCATAAAATAATTAAAAACTATATAGAACTATATAGAAGATAAAACTAGAAGATAGAAGAGTAGTTATCTAATCTAACTCGTAAAAAATGTATTCTTCAAAAGAACATTTACTTTTTGTGTTAAACACATGATAATTATTTTAACTTTAATTTTAGTAAATGTAATTTAATTTTTAATTTTGTGTGTTAAAGTTCATAATAATTGTAAACAATTTACTTTGATTTGTTCTAGAATGTTGAATTGATTTTGAGATATGCGGATTAATTGAAATAATTATGTTTTAAAAACACTCAAACTAATATTCTATTCCTAAGCAAACAAGATGTTAATTTATGAAGTTGACATAAATCTAACACAAGAAAATGTTAACATATAGAACATACGATTACATAAACATACGATATTTTTTTACCATATATGTATAAAGTTAATTATATATATAATTATATATGTAATTATACAACTCGGTTTTATCTTTTCGTGACCAATTGACGATTAATTACGCTTCACATATTTATCTATCATCAACATTTACAAATTAATATCTTTTCACTAATCACCGATGAAGATCCAAATAATAAAATTGAGATGTTTGATTATATTCAAATAAACATATATTCAAATCTATTGGAATAAATATATTTTCATCGAATGTCTTTTATAGTGACTTTAATTTAGGGTTTAGATGTACCGAGTTGTTTTTTAACGAAAACCGTTATTTCATAACTATATATATTTGTTTCTATATATATTTCTATATATATTTAATTTATATTTATAGTTATTTAATAACTATATATATTTATATATATACGCGATTAATCTCGTTTTATACAAATAATTTATTAACAATTTTACATATCATAGACATCTTGCGAGTGTCGAGAGCAGCACGAGAGAGGAGAACTTGACAAATAACTGCTCTCGCTTTGGGAAGTGCGAGTTACTTGAGAAGTGCGGAACTCTGCGGACATTCGAACTCACAGGAGATTCCCTTGTCAGTAGGAAGTCAGTAGGAGTCTTGCATGAAGACCAACGGATCGGTCGATGCTTCCTTAAAGAATTTGCAATTATGATGCACGGATTATTCAGTTTTATTCGGAATTGGTACAAATTCACGTGTAAAGTACATTATTAAAACCAAGTACTAGACGCAATTGTTACTACGGTTCATACATGTTTCATGGTGAGCTTTGCGCAATCCAAGAGGAAATAAATTGCGCCAATTTTCTTGCGTTCTCTTTTTGTTTTGTTATTCGAACACAGTCGTATGTAGTTTTTTTGTTGACACTCGATGGAATATAGCGCGAATAAGGAAACTCTGGAAGAGAGAGAAAAAAAGAGAAAGAAGAACGTGTAGGAGTCGCGGGTGAAGGCGAGAGCGCATGAGTCGAGATGTGACGTCCGCGCGCGCAAGCCCTACTTTCAAAAGTCTCCACCGCTCCGCCAGTCGCGCGCCGGACGTCGTGTGAAGTGTGTTCCTCGAACACTCGTGTGGTTTTTGAAACTCTGTCTTATTCTGTTATTCTGATCAGTTCTCACGTATTTCGGCGATTCAAGTGCAATCGAAATTCGTGATTCGAGAATCGAAAAATGTGAACTCAAGGCGTATATATACGTCACTCTTCTTCTCCTCATCCCTCTCTGATCGAGTAAAACAGCGATTGAGTTGTGTGTGGAGATTGGTGAAGTATTTAAAAATTCAGAAGGATTTATTTATATATACGCGTTGTATATTGCGTCTCTTCTGCTAGTTTGACATTTCCGCGATATGGATAACGTGTTTATGCTCAGATTGCGCCTTGCAAGGCAAATTGGAAGATACCGTCGCGCGGTTTGACAAACAAGTGACAGCGGATTTCGGAGAAATCAGAGCGCGTAAATTCGAGCGAAATAGCAAAAATCACGGATTGTAGAGAAATCATGACATATCGCGAAACAAATCAGTGTCGCAATTGAAACACAAACACCGGCCGAGATAGTCGATCAAGTTCGTTGACTTCGCGCCGAACGCTTTGTTGAATCCTTTACCGCCGTGATCACGAAGTCTCAAAGATTACGAAAAGAGTGCGCGAGCTGTAGGTATGTTCTCTCTCTGTCAATGCCAAATCCATTAGTATAATACGGTAGTGAAACATCGGTGTATAAAAGTTGACACAAGTTAAGTGTGTGACAATGAATTTGGTCAGTGCGGCAACACGGAAGCAAGTCATCATGATCGTGCTAGCGGTGTCATTCTTGCTCTTTCAAGACCATCGAGCAACGGGCTCCGATTTGGGTGAGTTGGGTTTTTACATATACACATCTCTTGAGGATTTAAAAAACGTTATACAATAGTGTTGGTTTTTCAATTTTTTGTTCGACCTGTGTGAAGTTAACACCAGAGGTTGAAACAGTTGAAACAATTTTATACCAGAAAAAGAATAGTATTGCGTAGCAACAATAACTTTGTTGGTTTTCGGTTTAATATATAAAAAATGTTTTACGCCTGACTTTTTTTAATATAAAAAAGTTTGGTACATACGTAAAAGAGTGAATTTCGTATACAACATATTTTCTTGCTCCGGAATTGTTTGTAATTTGTAAAACTTGTTTGTGAAAATTGCTTTGTTTTTGTACAGTCATATTGGTTGCATTTGCAAAATAGATTGTATACTTGTTGCAATTATTATTTGTATTTCTTGCACTAATAATAATATTCGAAATTCCCTTTTTTTCATCTCATTTAGAATCAAAGACAATCAAGAACTATCAAAATGCCGAAGGCATTGTGGCCGAAACAAAGACCCTTAATCGTATTCGACTATCGAAACTGCTTTACAGAGCGGTTAATTATGCATGCGAGATATTGTTTTACTTTCTATAAGCACTACAACTCTGCGTAAATTAACGATCGGTTGCAAACCGTTTCGAGGCAATCGGCTATATGTATGCCGCATGGGGTAAACAATAAGGAAATTAGTTGTACCGTATCTTGCGGTACAACTAATGCGTAACAGATACTTGATACTGTCTGCAAACATAAATATCAATTATCTATAATTGTACGATACTGGTATCGCGATTATCTACAAATATTGTCGTTAAGGTATCAAGATGAAGTAAAAAGGGAAAATTCACAAGCAGTTTTATACATCGTCAGTTAAATGCTTCCTATCGATTTAAGTTTTGATAATTACATATTACAGTTTCTGATATTTGTCTCTGTAGTGGTTTTTATCTTATTTATTTATTTTAATTTTTATTGTTCTATTAATAACGTATTAATTCATTTTAAAAATGGTTTTGTTTTGTAAAACTATATCAAAAGTCGCCACTATGTCGGCTGTTTAAAATTTGACAATTCATGAGTCAGTTTCTGATTGTAATTTGTTTATCTACTTATTTATTTAATTTGCTTTATTTTTGGATTCTTAACGACGCAATTATTTAATTTTAAACGATATTGATACATAAGAAATTGATATTTTATTCTGAAAATGATCCAATCTTGGATTGAAACGCAAATCAATCAAATAACTTTTTCTACACACCATCTGTGTCTGAAGCTCATATTGGCTCTTTTCTTCTTTGGATTAATTTTAAAATTCACAAGTTTCATCACTAAAGAAGTTAATTATTTTCTCTCTTTTCTTCCTCCCTTTTCTCTCATTTGAATGACAGATACTTATTGTCTACAAGCGTATATATTTATTATTTACAATAATGCTACAAGCATATTAATGATCTATTTACAGTACGATTATCTTACAACGGCATCGTAGAGATATCAAAATGAGAAAGAAATTAAGAAAAGTTTGATCCAAGATTTTCGTGCACAGCTTTTGTCGCGACACGCGCAAGCCGTCTAACTCGTATTTCATCGCGGCGACTGTTGCGAATATAAAATATCTTGCATTAATTTTCGAATATTCGAATCTATTTCACGAAAGAGTGAAAATTACGGCTTGTCCGCTTTTTTTCCGCTGGCAGCGCTGAATTATGGCTACGGAAGAATTGTTCCCGGCGAAATGCAGATAGGTGCGCTTTCCCCTGCAGTTCGTGACCTCATTTTGCACAGATTTTGCACAATTTATGGCAAAAGACGGCAAAGATATCCGAACGAGATAATCAAGATTAAGTTTTACATATACATATACATCAGATATATGCATATTGTATGCCCGGGCGCGCGCAAATCTCACGCCCGTTACACAGGGGAAGGCATGCGGACGCTTCCTACAAATTTACCCTCAATCCGGCGCAATGACGTTTTCCGATGCGATGCACAGCTAATCCGCTACATCCTGAAAGACGACCTAAATCTATTTCAGAAGCTCGATCTACTCAAGCAGCTTTTTACCGATCGCAACGTCGAACCTTTGAAGCCAAATGTTCTCGCGTTATCCGACGAAGCCACTTTCTTCCCCATCTCTCCGTGTTTTTGCATCTCTTTTACCTGGCTTGGGTGAAATTTTCCACCGTACGTACGTCGGTCGATCCAACCTAACGTGTTGATCGTCTCTCGCGATTTATGGAGATGGCGGCAACTTTTCAAACTAGCTGGGGGCCACCGCAATAGCGATCATCGCGATTTCCGTTCAGCTGCCAATTATAATAAGAATTTACGGGCGGGAGAGATCAAACGCGGGTGACTATCGATAAAGTGCCATCGCCCGAAACGTCCGATATCTTTTCTTCCTTCGAAAACATCCGATAGATTTACGAGGGTAATTACGTGCTTTCTTTCTACGGCTATTCGTCGCTCCGCGCAAATGCACTGTCCATTCTTTTCCCGCCTTAATTCATCTTGTTCTTTTTCGCTCTCCTCTTTCTTTTCGCGCACGTTAGCACCTATGACGAGTTCCACCAACTTTACGATCGCGCCGCTGATTAATCGACGTCATCTAGTATCCGGACATATTGTTTAAACAAGCATTTTGAAAACTTGAGCATTACAATCGGGGAATTATATAATTATAATTTTATATATAATCAGATTTTTTAAGGCCGATACCGAACAATGTCAACTAGATTTTTATCAAGTATAAAATATTATCTCACTCTATATCGTCACTCCCTACGTATAATTACATAAGTGTCACATATGGGATTTTCAGTTTATTGCATAATGACACTTAGAAAGTCATGTTCTTTATGGTCACCAAATATTAAAAAAAAATATTCATAAATAAGGTACAAATTTGAAACCGAAAGNAAAAAAAATATTCATAAATAAGGTACAAATTTGAAACCGAAAGATCCCTAACTATAGGGAAACATATGAAGCTTTATACTTTTAAACTGCTCTCCTCTAAAATTTGCGTTTTGGAGTTACGGGATTATACGTAGGGAGTGACGATATGTACACAGTATATAAAAAATCATGCTTTCATATGGTAAATTTTTTGTGTTACTCCGTTTTTATTATTACTTCAACGTACATTTAACTTTCCATGGCCAGACCTCAAAATTGACGAATTGGCCAGACCGGGTCTATGAGACCCATACAACTTTAAGATCGAATATCTCTGCAAAATTCAATATTTTTTCACTTTTGTTTTTTTAAATCGAAAATTTGAACGATTTTGCGTCGATAAAAAAAAAACAAAAAATAAAAAAACAAAACAAATTGAAAAACTCTTTTTAATAGTTTTGAAGATATAAGCGTTTAAAAAAACCTAGTTTTTTCTAGAAACGCTGATGCGCACGTTTTGAGTGGGTCTGGGAGATTCACATCTGGACTTGAAGAATTGACATACAACTGATATTATTTTTATGTTTTCACGTGTTAGATTTATAGCTCAACTTATAATTTCATAACGTAAAATTTTGCGTATGTCACTTAAAAATAAAATGTTATTTTGAGTTCTTTTAATACAATGATTTTAATTAAGAAACGAATAAAGCTCATATAGTATCAAACTAGAGAACAAATACATTCGGTTAATGTAAGCCAATGTGCTAGATGTTGATGCAAATAACACTAGTTGACACGTGCCAGGTTCGGGGATAGGAAGAGTGATTTTTCGTAGATTTTTTACCGCTCATTACGAATCTGGAATACAAAATTGCCTAGCACGTTAGGATTCTGAGAAAATTGCAAATAAATATGCAAAAAATACCATTGTTTAACACTTTTGCATCAATTATATCTTTTAACTGAGACGTGATATTGAGTGCTACGAGCGGGCAAAAAACAGCTTTTGGCTTTGCACTTGATGCAGCAAATACGAAAAAGTTCGAACCAACAAGGGAAAATTGCGTACAAAATTTGAAAGTTTGAGATTTAGTAATTCCCTTAATCTTCATAATTTTTTTCGTAGAATCGATTGGCGCAGATTAGTTTTTGGACAACAATTTTTAACAATTTGTTTAAACCGTTTTTGTGTAAATTTTAATTTAATGTCTCTTTTTTTGTTTAAAAATAACGAAATAAAAAATATATACATTTTTTGTTTAAATTTTAATTTAAACAAAAATTATTTAAGCAAATTGTTAAAACTATTTGTTTACCGAAAAACCAATCTGCGCCATTCGATTCTACAAAAAAATTATGAAAATTAAAGAAATCACTAAACCTCAAACTTTCGAATTTTGTACACAACATTCCTATATTAGTTTGAACTTTTTCGTACTTGCTGTATCAAGTGCAAGTCAAAAAGTTTTCTTTTGCGTGCTTGTAGCACTCAATATCACGTTCCAGTTAAAAAATATAATTAATGCAAAGGTGTTAAAAATGACATTTTTTGCATATTTCTTTGCGATTTTCTCAGAATTCTGATATGCTAAGCAATTTTTACGGCCAGATTCGTAATCAATCGCTAAAAAGTCTACTAAAAACCACTGATGGTATTTTTAAACCTGAAAAAAATTCATATTTTGTCGACCAGAGTAATATATAATATATTTTATTTTATTAAAATATATAAATTATTACATGTAATAATTCGAACTGAATTTCAATTCAAAAATTCACCTTAAATGCTTGACAATTATTTCAATATTAATTTACATGTCTCAAAACTCAATTCAACATTCTGATAAAAGTTAAAGTAAATCTTAAAATAATTATAAATTTTAACACGCAAAATAATCAACTTTACTCAAATCAAATTTAAAATAATTATCACGTATTACCCTAACGCAAAAAATAGATTAACGTTTTTTTGAACTACATACGAGTTATTGCAAACAGTCTTTCTTGTAGGTTTTAATTATTTTATATATAATTTATGTTATTTTTACATCACACTTAAAGCCAAAATAACAAATATAAATGGAAAATATTGTGTCAAT